AGGATCGGCCGGGGCTGCTGCCACTTTTCCTCGCTGGCCGCTTACCGTAACGTTCCTGCTGTCCCGGGGGGGCTGACAGACCTGCTATAGCGGTTATGTCCGTTTGCTTTTCCCTCACGGTATTTCCTGCTCTGTTTTTTTCATTTCCGTCGCTTCTCCTCGATACTGAGGCGATTTCGGTTGAATATGGGACTGTTCATTTCCGCGCGGGAGCGAATCCGCTGTTCGGGGTCCGGTTAAACTGATGTAGCGCCGCAGCAGAGAGTTACGGTGGGCTCTGCCTGGAGCCGAGAAGGTAACGGGTACAGCTCGGGACCGGCCGTCGTGGAGGAACATCCGCTGCTTCCAGTCGGCCGTGGGGCAGTCGTTGGTCTTCAAATTCCTTTAAGTAGGATCCCCGGTCTGCAGTCAGGTCTGCACGTTGTGCCGGTGAACGGCAGGAGACGGAGCGGCAGGTTTCTGCCGGGGGAGGGGGGCGTCTTCTGCCTGGCCACGCGTGGCCCTGCCTGCTATTTCCAAGCCTGGCTGGCGTGCTGGAAAGCAGTGTGCTTTATAGCAGAATGTGGGTAGTGCCAGCTTTTTTCCAGGTTTCTCCTAAGGCTTACTGTGCTGTGTGGATCTGAGGTCAGGTGCAGTTCTCGGTGTTCCAGATGGCGGGAGGGTGCAGACGCTCCCCCAGGTGTGGGGCTGATGCTTAGCTGGGAACTGAAGCAGCAGTCTACACCGAATGTCATATTTGGATGAATCCTATCTAGCACTCTAGTCTGCATGGAGACTTTCATGGGTGCTGCCGATCTGCTGGTGAGGGGACGCATGCTTGTGGTTAAGCAACAAGTCTTTTCCCTGAAATAGCTGTTTGTGTAAAATGTACAAGGACATCTGCACCTTGGTTATTTTTAAACATTGTCATTGACCTACACAGTGGGGTAAAAAGTGCATAGGAGGCTGATGACTTCTGGTTTGTGTCACTTCAAGGAACTTGACCTTGGTATCAACTTGCCTGAGCAACTACCGAGTTTCAATGTTCTTTGGAAAATGGAAGTCCGTGGTTAGTGGTTTTCCTTCTGTAAGTGCACTTCTTTCCTTATGCAACCTTACGGCAAGTAAACTTCTGGTAGCAGGAAGAAGCAGGTTTGAGATCTGCCCAGCTGTGTGACATGTTCCTTGTGCCATCCTGTGCCCACCCAAATCCTTGACTCTTGCTTTAATCCACCCGCACAGCCGTTTGGATTCTGGATAGCATTTATCTGTGTGCCAGATGCTCCTTGTGCACAAGTTTTCGTGCTGTTTTTCCTAGCTTGCGTGCATCTAAATAACTATTGCCTCTCTGGGCTCGATTGCAGTTCTATCAGAAACTGCTATAACTGTGTTATAACTATGATCAGCATTTTCTGAAAGGGCAATAGGCCAGTAGCGTCAACCCCTCTTCCTAAGTCTGACGGTAGTCTGGCATTGGCCGTACAGTCTCTACAGGAATATTCATTCAAGTGTGTAATTCCTTCCTGGTAGTCAAGTTGCTCTCTACTGAATAAAGTTTGCCTTTCCTTTCTTTCAGTTCTGGGAAATCCAGTTAATTACACAAATGAGCGCAAATGTTATGCGCTGAGTCAGTGGCACGGGGGAAATGGTTGCCTGGCTTCCTGGCCTAGCATGGTTCTCTGCGAGAATTGTTACACTAGAGCAATCTGCCTTCCTGAAATCTCTGCTCTGAGGACCAGCATAGCTGTAGCCGAGCTGTTTCCTGTGAAAAGTCACATTGGTTTCTTCTGCAGAACGTGAAGGAGCAGATGGCCGTGTCATGTCTGGAGAGGAAAAAAATGAATATATAAGATAGTCAAAGTTTGATTTGGGAAATCCACTCTCTGGGGTTACAGGCTGCCTGGTATTGCCTTAACTTTCTATGTGAGAAGGCTTTCCCATTGGTTATACAATTTAAGGTTGCTCTTTATCCGGGATGCAGGAATCCTTGTTTTCTCTGGTGTGAAATGGTTGCTGTATGTCACTTTATTCCTGCGTGCAGGTGAAGAAGTCTGGAGATGTCTAGGATGCGGGGACAGCATTGCTGCTGGTCAGCGCCTCTACAAGACTGTAAATGAAGCTTGGCATGTTTCCTGTTTCCGGTAGGTAAAACTTTAGCCCGTTAAACTCTCCTTGTGTTGTTCATTGTGACTTGGAACCTGGTGGATAAGTACCAGTATTAACAGGGGGTTCTTGCTGTCATCTCTGTGCGTGAACCTGTTCCAGGGCCTCTTGCAGAGCGATTGGCGTGCTCTTGTTTGCGGCCGTGGTTCAGTGCCTGCAGTGGCACTC